TGTTTGGGTAAGCATATCGGTCGATCACTGACTGAATTTGCCACTTTATACTCATTCAAGTTGGCATTAAATTTATATATAATGACATTGAACTGTCGTGGTAAAGCAGAATTTGTTCGAAATCACGAATGAGCAAAATTATCACCTTTCGCACGTGCAAACTATGAGCGGACGTTGCGTGCGCATCCAATATTGAATCGCCGTAAAATTTTGCGTGTTGGTGTTTTATATATAGTTTGATAAGCATGCAAAGTTTCAAAGTATTTCAAGAAGAACTGTAATCACAACGGCACACCAACGTTTACAGAAAATGGTAAAAACAGCAATTTTCAGTGATTTTAGCAATTTTTAATCAATTTGGGCGTGTCCCCACGTGTGCAACTTTTAGATTTTTAACTTCAAAACTAGCCTAATACACAATTTATACCTATAGGAAGCAGAACTGAGCTCCACAACCCAAGGGATAGCCCAACACCAGAGAATACTAAATCGCAAAATTGACGTTTTTATAAAATAATTCTTCAAAAAAGCACTAACTTCAATGGCAAATATCTTTATGAAGGAGCAAGGTAGGGAAACTTTCCGGTAGATTTTCAGAATGCTTGAACAATTATCTAATATAAAAATGTCCTCAGATTTTGAATAAAATTACTCCTTAATGGTGTAAAATCAGTTTGAAAAGTTGTTATTTTGTCAAAAATCAAGTTTTAAAAACACTTAATTTGATGACGTCATCAAGTGGTGATGATGACGTTAAATTATTTTTTGATATAATTGAAACTGAAGTGTAAACAATTATCTTTAAGACCTGTGGTCGGAAATTGCTGTATCTTTTATACTTTTGAATCTCCGGACACTTAAATACAGGCTACAATTGACTACATTTGACTGGCAAAGCGTCTATCCCTGAATATATGTATCACGACAATCTATCGTAAAACAGGGGTTCCAGAAAACCCATTTCCCGATACTCCTGAAACACGAAATTTTTTTACAGTCGATTTGGTCAACGTCTAGACGCCCTGCAAAGTTTCAGATCTCTAACTCAATTTTAACATGGTTTTTAAGGCACCTGAATATGGCAATTTTGGGTTTTTTACCGAATTTCGTATAACATGCTGGTGCGTATTTTGCGCAAATTTCTTAAAAACCTCCACATAACTATTTCTTGTTCCTGTCATTTTTAACATTGAATTAGAATGATTTGAACTTAAATATACCTGCTGAACTACTTTCGATGAGTCTTAATGCCCGAAAAACAATAAAGGGTTATAAAAGTAAAGGGGGTAAATAGTAAAGGGGGTAAATAGTAAAGGGGGTAAATAGTATTGTGAATATAAGAGGCACGGTCATGCTTGCCAGCATTGTGATTCAGGGATAGACTCTTTGCCAGTCAATTAAAGGCTATATTTAGGTGTCCGTCGATTCAGAAGCTTTAAAGATACAGCCATTTCGGACCACAGGTCTTGAAGATAATTGTTTAAACTTTAGTTTACATTATGTTAAAAAGTAATTTAACGTCATCATCACCACTTGATGACGTCATCAAGTTAACCATTTTTAAAACTTGATTTTTCACAAAGTAATCATTTTTCAAATCGATTTTACGCCATTAAGGAGTAATTTTATTTAAAATTTGAGGACATTTTCACCTTAGATAATTGTTTAAGCATTCTGAAAATCTACCGGAAAGTTTTTCTAGCTTGCTCCTTCATAAAGATATTCGCTATTGAAGTTAGTGCTTTTTTAAAGAATAATTTTATAAAAACGCTAATTTTACGTTCTAGTATTCTCTGGTGTTACACCATCCCTTGGGTTGTGGAGCTCAATTTTGCTTCCTAAAGGTCTAAATTGTGTCATAGGCTAGTTTTAAAGTTGAAAATCAAAAAGTTGCACACGTGGGGTCACGCCTAAATTGATAGAAAATTGCTAAAATCACTGAAAATTGCTGTTTTCACCAATTTCCGTCAACTTTGGAGTGCCGTTGTGATAACAGTTCTTCTTGAAATACTTTAAAACTTTTCATGCTTATCAAACTATATATAAAACACCATCATGCAAAAATTTACGGTGATTCAATATTGGATGCGCACGCAACTTCCGCTCAAGGTTTGCACGTGCGAAGGTCCAAATTTTGCTCATTCGTGATTTTGAACAAATTCTGCTTTGCCACGACAGTTCAATGTCATTATATATGAATTTAATGCCAACTTGAATGAGCATGAAGTGGCATATTCAGTCAGTGATCGACCGATATGCTTACCTAAACACAAAGAAATGTTTTTGAAGGAAAAATTTCGAAATTGTTGAAATCACCTCCTTATTAATATTAATGAAGTTATGAGTTTACATTTCGGCTTTGTAAAGTACCCTGACATTATATAATCAAAAAGAGATTATATTTGACCAAAACCCATAATCATGGGTAGAGTGGAGCGCTGCCAGTGTCTCTCTTTCCCAAACAAAAGGCAATGATATCAATTTGAATGACCGTTATCAAATGCAAAATGATACCGAGAATGAAATCGGTCGCTCGATTTTCCCATTCATTTACAATTGAAATAGATTACATGTTATAAATCGAAACTTATTACAATTCGTAAGCCATGAATGAGTGGGAAAAGCGATATTGATATCATTGCCTTTTGTTTGGGAAAGAGAGACACTGGCAGCGCTCCACTCTACCCATGATTATGGGTTTTGGTCAAATATATATAATATATTATTAATTATAATAATATAATATAATAATATTCCCGGCAACATTGAACATATTTTTAAAACATTTCGATGTTCGGGCGTAAAATGATTTTTGCACGCTCGTGATGTTTTAGTTTAAAGTTAAATATACCTATCGGTTTACGTTGTTAAAATTGTATTTAAAACGTGTAGGGGGCCATCTACTTAGGACGTCTGGCAAATAGCCATAGGGAGGGGGATGGTTTTGGAATTTCGGACAAATGTGGACAGGGGCCGTAGGGGGTGGTTTCTGAAAATGTTGGCAGAATTAACAAAAAAGTCCCATTTATTTTAACTCTTTGACACTGATTACTTTGTAAGTTTAAATCCCTATATTTTGAACGAGAAATCGATTCCCAGAGCAGATCATGAGAGCCGAGACACTCGCATATTCTCCTACTGCCTTAAAACTTATTCGAATGGATGGTTACTTAATTACTTAAATTTAACTGTGCTATTGCTAAACTTGTTCGACACTAAATGTATTATATTGTCTATTTTAACTTTAAGTAACTTCACATTTTTATATTAATAATGGATTTGAGTTGGTTATATTTGTACTTTTAAAAGTAGCTGGAAATCCGGACATCCGGGGGAGGGGGCTGGGGTGGTTTTGAAAATTCGGACACACCCGGACAGGAGGGGGTGGTCTGAAAATTTGCGATTTTGGCGGACGTCCTAAGTAGATGGCCTCTAATTTAGATTTTCAACAGTTTGTTATGTCCGCGTATTTTAATTTGCCCATGTGACTTATTTTGAATTGCATAAACGTTGTGGTGCTGTACTTTTATTAACCTTATCAGCCAAATGTTTACTGTATTTTTGATTTGGCTGATGACCAGAATATTTTTCCAGTTATAACAACAAGTTTATAATTATAGTTGTGTCCATGCCGGGAATCACAAGTGCTTGTCCTATGTGCGTTGACCGAGAGGACTGTCTCACACTTTGATCTCGGACAGTGCCCGGCTATTGCCCAAATTAGAGGTCAATATTATTTCCGGGACTACAACCTCTCCGTCAATATATTAGTATAAGTGCCAGAGGAGCTGGACCAGACTGGTGTAACATAGCGACTACTCACGAGTCACGAGTCGTCTTAGTTCGCCTTTCTCTTCTACTTCACTATATACACCCAGCCACCACTTAAGTGTTCATCTATGACACATCCCACCACACTTACCATCATCCTTGATTACACATTCTGATTCCACTGGCATCCTCCCATAGGACTGCCATACCCCAGAGGTAGGCAAAGCATCCTTTCGTGGGCCACCCAGGCCAGCCTCTCTAAAAAATTGTTAACATATTTTTTAAATGCCGGGAATAATATGTTACTGAGCGGGCTCAGCCTGCTCATTCTTTATGAACATAATCTTTAAGAACATAATCTTTATGAACATAATCTTTATGAACATAATAAACTGGGGTGAGGGGTCCCCTGGTAAGGGCCAAGGGGTGAGGGGTGAGGGGTGAGGGGTGAGGGGTGAGGGGTGAGGGGTGAGGGGTGAGGGTGAGGGGTGAGGGGTGAGGGGTGAGGGGTGAGGGGTGAGGGGTGAGGGGTGAGGGGTGAGGGGTGAGGGGTGAGGGGTGAGGGGTGAGGGGTGAGGGGTGAGGGGTGAGGGGTGAGGGGTGAGGGGTGAGGGGTGAGGGGTGAGGGGTGAGGGGTGAGGGGTGAGGGGTGAGGGGTGAGGGGTGAGGGGTGAGGGGTGAGGGGTGAGGGGTGAGGGGTGAGGGGTGAGGGGTGAGGGGTGAGGGGTGAGGGGTGAGGGGTGAGGGGTGAGGGGTGAGGGGTGAGGGGGGGGTGAGGGGTGAGGGGTGAGGGGTGAGGGGTGAGGGGTGAGGGGTGAGGGGTCCCCAGGTAAGGGGTCCTCAGGTAAGGGGTCCTCAGGTAAGGCGTCCCTAGGTAATAAGGTAAGGACTAAGGGGTGAGGGTCCCCAGGTAAGGAATGTATGTGTCATACTAAGACTAGAAGTATGTGACATATCACATGAGACATCCTATTCCTACCATTACCAACGTATCAGGCTCAACTGGATACATAACCGGAATTGGTACTGAGCAGCAACTTGATCATCCGCATCGAGTCGATAGACTTGCAGTTTTATTCCCCGCCTGATTAATTTCGTGAAGCGATATTTGCAATTTGCATAGTCAAACTTCGGTAAATTGTTACAATTTCCAGGCCGCCTCCCATGGACGTGGGCCACGTTGATCCCAGCTCCTCTTCAGTTGCAGTTACACTCTGTCCCAGCCCCTACTTATGTGAACCGCGTATTAACTGGTCGAAGCCTTAGTATTAATGCTTTTCATGCAAACAAGTTAAAACGAATCTTTTATGTCATGTATCCTGGGTTTGGACAGAATATGCCCGCTTAAAATACTTCCATCGCGTTACATTACATAATTCTCAATAAATGTATAATAGATTTGTAGTGTTGTAATTAGTATATTTCACCTTATCTCTTTAAAATTTTGTACGCGTCAGACTGATCATCATTAATTTACTTAAACCCTTTACTAGGATCATTATAAATGCAACATGGCAAGATTTCTGTCGAAGCTAAAGCACGTGATAAAGATCAATGACATAACCCCAGCACTCCTTGAGAAATGGGGGCCCGAGGAGTGTGCCACGAGGAGTGTCTTGGCCACAGCCTATCGTCTGACTCATTACCTGAACTGGGATGATCTCATATACGGCCACATAACCACCAGGATCCCAGGAAACGAGGACCATCTCCTTATTAACCCGTACGGGATACATTACACCGAGGTCACAGCGAGTAACCTTATAAAAATCAATTCTGCAGGCAAGCTGGTTGATCAGGGGTCCGCTAAGTTCCCGTTTCAACCCACAGGAGCTGTCATTCACTCAGCCATCCACACAAACAGACCTGACCTTGGGTGCCTGATGCACATTCACTCGGAGCCTGGTATAGCCGTGTCTGCAGCAGTGGAGAAAATCGAGCCCATCATTCAAGCGAATGTGGAGTTGGGGGAAATCAGCTACCATGACTTTAGAGGAGTGATATTTAATTCGGAGGACAAGGAACCACTAAGCAAGGACTTCCCAGCTCCCTCCAAGACTTTGATAATGCGAAACCACGGCCTCCTCACAGGAGGAGAAACTATCGAGGAGGCGTTCAACAAGATGCACTTCCTCCACCAAGTGTGCCAGTGTTATGTTAACTGTGGATACATTCACACCCCCATACCGGCTAGCAAACTCATCAACCAGCAAATTCTGGAGAGTTCCGTCTACGGGAATGAAGAGTGCAGGTACGATACAGCTCCAGGTGTGCAAGAATTCGAGGCATTGGCTCGATTGCTTGATTACCAAGGCTTGGAAACTGGGTATCCGTACAGCGAGGCTTCCAAACATATCCTCGAACGAAACATAAAGTGAGCACAAAAAGTACACGAGATGAATACTGAACAGTAACATTTTAATGAACAGATCACAGTTACAATGCATTCGTTTGGTTTAAAATCTGAAAATGAATAAAAACAATATCTAATAAAAAGTGTTCGGAATTCGGATTCGATTTGAAGCTTTAAAGGTTTAAGCCTAGAAAATTTGATTGTTTAAAACTGATGACTAATAACTGCTCATAACTGATATTTGTTGCATGTCTTTACCTTGATTTAAATCTTGGTGTTGTTGATAATGTAATTTTTACTGGAAGAAAATGACAGCGAACTGTTTTTGGTTCTACCTTATCGGACTTTATTCGGACGGACATTACTTGAACGCTGGAGGCCCTAGCCTTCATCTTAATGTCCGTTCAAATAAAGTCCGTTCAATTAATGTCCGTCCAAGTTAAAGTCCGTTGAAATTTGTTCAAACATTTTTTCCATTTCGAACTTTTTGTCCAGCATATGACAACTTTTTAATGTCAGTCAATTTCAATAGCTATCATTAAACTAAACAATATCGTTGAATCAATAAAAACAAGGTATTTTTCTTCCTTGCGACTATTTTTTTTCTTCCTTAATCATTTGCTAAAATTAAAAAAACCTCAAAAAAAAGATGAAAAAAATTCGGATTTTTGATGGTTTTGATCGCCTTCTAGCGTTCATATTAATGTCCGTTCATAATTGTGTCCGTTCAAGTAATGTCCGTCCAAATAAGGTCCGATAAGGTAGTCATTCAGGTCCACCAAGAGAACGTGTTTAAAAAGTCAACTGACAGTCGAGTATTATAATCATCATCCCGACTTTTACGCACCAAAAGGAAACTCACTAATCATTCCAAAAAGGTATAACAAATTTGGTATTGTAAAATTTGGTATTGTGAAGAAGCTCACATTTTCAAAAAAACAATGATACAAAAATGTTGAAAATCCGATCAAGTTTAATTTTATTGTGCACCTCTTATCAAATTTAAATTTAGTACATGTCAGGATCAACACAATAGTTTTTTCTGCTCAGTATAAGCTAATTATTTTCCTTTTTTAAATAGAGAAGCGGGACCTAGGTGGCCCACAAAAGGATAGTATGAAGATGCTCTGCTGCCTTTGGGGTGTGGCAACCCTCCAGGAATTAGAAGATGCCGGGGGAATCTATGAACAGCTACGAGTACGAAGGGGTAAAGTGGCAAGTAGAATGAGGGGAAATTGATAAAATTAAATATCCGAATGCTGCGCCGAGAGGATGATAAGTATAACCACTACCAGTACCAGAGATAATGAGCTAAAACAGCACGAGAAAATGCATTAGGTCATTTCGGTTTATATTAGTCCAGTTCCTCGGGCAGTGGGCACAAGAAGGTGCTTAGTGCGAGTTGGCAATAGTATTAATATGTTGGTTGTCAAAGACGTCGTTGGTGGTGAGGTAATATTCTAAAATAATCCTGAAAGTATTGCCCTGGCAGTTGTGCAATACAGTACCCAGCTTGAGCTTTTGCTAAATGTGCAATATCTGGGTACTGTCCAAGAAAGTGCGAGACAGTCTCTTCTTCATTGCCGCACGTAGGACAGGCAATTATGGTGATTGATTTGCAAATGGTACGGAGGTGATTGTTCAGACCACCGTGTCCCGCGCTTGATAAGGTGCAGTACAATTTTGTATATCTGTTGTTCTTACTGAGGATGGTGGCATCATCAGTAAGCTATTTTAGGTTCAAAACTCATTAAGTGTTTGAGTAGAGTGTTACTGTTAGTGTTAGGGTTTTAAATAGTCTCTCAGGGCCATATACTTCTATTTTGGAAAACGTGTTTAAGTCAGTCACGTGATAGTCGAGTGTAAAGTTATTAATCAGATCATCCTTGGGCAGCGTTTGACTATTTAATTTAAGTCAGCTTTAATCTCAGTAAAAAGCATAACATTTTAACTAACAACCAAATGAACATTTTCAATTTTATACTTATACTTATAAAGGGCTTCTTTGGAGCCATATCATGCAGCAGAGTGTCAATAATAATAATATTAGCGTGTCACGCGCAATCGCATATTCGTAATATCAGCTTTAAGCTATAACTCTATTACTATGCGTATAAAATAAACAAATGCGAATAATAAACGGAGAAACATCACTGAAATCTTATTACATATAGTTATACCTTGAGCCCTTGAGAAAGAAAAGAATTTAGACCTGATGGCGATTTTTCTCACCAAGTTAACAGAGCCTGTCATCCCCATTTTATTCGCATTATGATATTAGAGTTAGACGAGACTAAATAGTGCCTCCAATATTCAATTTATTTATACTTTTATAGATTGCAACGGCCCTTAAGCGCTTGGTACATCGACTTTAATTCTATTTTAAGTCTATTATATAATTATCTGCACCCGGAAATTAAAAACTGCAAAATCTTGCAGCTTCGGGAAATTAAATTACCACAATGATCACAATGCTGGCAAGCATAACCATTGCCCTTATATTGACAACACTATTTACCCCCTATACTATTATATCCCCTTTATTGTTTTACAGGCATTAAGACTCATCGAAAGTAGTTCAGCAGGTATATTTAAGTTTAAAACATTCTAATTCAATGTTAAAGATGACAGGAATAAGAAATAGTTATGTGGAGGTTTTTAAGAAATTTGCGCAAAATACGCGCCAGCATGTTATACGAAATTAGGTAAAAAACCCAAAATCGCCATATCCAGGTGCCTTAAAAACCATGTTAAAATTGAGTTAGAAATCTGAAACTTTGCAGGGCGTCTAGACCTTGTCCAAATCGACTGTAAAAAAAATTCATGTTTCAGGAGTATCGGGAAATGGGTTTTATGGAACCCCTGTTTTACAACAGATTGTCGTGAAGCATATATATATATATATAGCCGGTGGCACATACTGGATGGCGGTTAGATGAGTACACTACTCTCACAAGCATCTCGAGTCTCTCGGTGATCCTGCCTCCACACCACACTCAGTCTGGACTCCCTTCCGGCCGACCGAACTATTTTCCTAATATCTCCTAATATAACTTTGATCGAACAAGCCTAAATTCATGATGCACTATAAACTTGATTTGAGACAGAAATTTTAAACAATTTATCTGCTTACGTGTAATTTCAAAGTTATCAGTTACCATGTCTTTTATCTAATTTTTATCAGCAGATTTATAAATCTGCTGTTCATTTGTAGTTATTACCTTGCTAGTTATGAGTAAATTTTTGCCTTCCATCAATTGAGTGCAGCTTTCAGTTTTAAAATTTTCAGTTTATTCAGATTTTTCGTTTTCGATATTGCAAATTTTTAATAAATCATGTTCAGATTATGGTGATAATGGATGTAAAGGTACTTCAACCGAATTAACAATCCAACCGTGTGTATGACGTGTCCCAGTAGCCAATCATAATATATATATATATACCTTACAAGACTTTTTTGTTGCGGACCAATTTGCGACGACCGAAATTTTGGCGGTCCAAAAATATGGCGAAATTGATCAAAAACCGTCACATTTCGGACGTCACAGAAAATAAGGGTATTTTTCATCATTTTGTTTTCTGACACAAAGGAAATTCAAAATTTTCTAAAAATCGGTAAAATCATGTTGAAACAAAATGAAACTTATAAATCGATTTCTTCATCTTCCTCTAAGGGGTCCGGCTCGACTCTTTCAGTTTCACGCTGTTCTCCAGTGTACTCCCAGGAGTAAGATTCTCGGATAAGCTGCTTCATCTTGTACACGATGTCTCCGAGGCCTTTGAAAGTAAGTTTCAACTTGACTTCCAATCCACCGGAGGGTATAGCCATAGGGGAACGACGGTGTCTGCTATCCTCAACAACTCCATTAATTTCCCCACCGTGGCACATAAAATAGTGACAATGTTTACTAACTTCTAACGGAATATGTCCAACGGTTACCAACTGTGGAACAAGCAAACCTCTTCCGTCCTTTATCCGCTTCACGGCACACGCATACCGATCATGTTGAAGAGACACATCGTTAGTTTCCCGACGGATAGTAACCTTCTCGTAGATATCAGTCCATGTGGTTACTTTTCCGGAACAAGATCCTTTTTAAATTGACTTGAGTAATAAGATGATTACTGATTAGTGCTGATTTTAGTATTTCAATCTAAAATCTAAATTTTACTCTACTGATCAATGACAGTATATCTGCATCACATGACTTATTGAGTTTGGTATTAAATTGTTTATCTTGACTTAGTCTCTTATAAGACTTTTATGTTAGCACATAAATGTAATTTATTGTAAATTTAAAACGTATTACTTGACATTAAATTCATCATGTAATATTGTGTTTTTTTGTCCCACCATTATATCACTAACTTTTCAAGAACAAAATGAATCGATGAAGCCACAATTATTGGAATAAGCTAAAAATAATGCGACGGATTCTATTACGACGACCGAAATTTTGGCGGTCCGAAAATATGGCGAAATTTCGGGAAAACCGTCGCATTTCGTACGTTAGGTATGAAAAGGTCTTGTAAGGTAGATAATTGTTCAAGCATTCTGAAAATCTACCGGAAAAGTTTCCTACCTTACTCCTTCATAAAGATATTCGCTATTGAAGTTAGTGCTTTTTTGAAGAATACTTTTATAAAAACACAAAAGTTGTGAATTAGTATTCTCTGGTGTTGGACTTGGACCATCCCTTGGGTTGTGGAGCTCAATTTTGCTTCTTAAAGGTCTAAATTGTGTTATTAAGGTCTAAATATTATTATTATTAAGGTCTAAATATTATTATTATATAGGCTAGTTTTAAAGTTGAAAATCTAAAAGTTGCACACGTGGGGACACGCCCAAATTGATTTAAAATAGCTAAAATCACTGAAAATCGTTATTTTCACGATTTTTATCAACTTTGGAGTCCCGTTGTGATTCAAGTTCTTTTTGAAATCTTCTGAAACTTTGCATGCTTATCAAACTATATATTAAATACCACTATGCAAAAATTTACGGTGATTCAATATTGTTTGCGCACGCAACGTCCGCTCAAAGTTTGCACGTGCGAAAGGTGAGAATTTTGCTCATTCTTGATTTCGAATATATTCTGCTTTCCCACGATATTTAAATGGCATTATATATAAATTAAATGCCAACTTGAATGAGTATAAAGTGCCATATTCAGTCTGTTATCGACAGATATACCTACCTAAACACAAGGGAATGTTTTTAAAGGTAAAATTTCGAAATCGTTGAAATTACCTCCTTATTATTATAAGGCAACCCTCGAGATATAATGAAGTTGATACATCTCAAATGCCTGATATCAACCAGAGGCGACAGAACAGACACGACCACCTTTCCCTGAAGTGTACTGTGGAAGCAAAAGCTCACTCCTTTAAGAAAAGCTTCTTCTTCAGAACACACAGTGTCTGGAATGACCTACCAACTGACCTTAAAGAGATAAGTGATGCCGGAACTTTTAAGGCAAACCTGGCAAAACACTTTTGGGACAAATTGACAGACCCTGACTAAGTTAATGAGTGCAAATGATATTTATATGTGGCCCCCGCCACTGATAGATCGGTCACGATACTGAATATAACAACTATAATATAAAAATAAATCTATTAAATAATATTAAATAACATTTACGTTCTGTCACCATGATTTGACCCTGGTGCAGTCCTCAGTTAATATACTTAACTGGATTACGCGAACTTTATATCCGACTGTAATCTTGCTTCTAAGCGCTGTGTTATATTCTAGAAGACTGACAGTCTTGTGTTGAAAGACGAATGTGATTTAGAAGCTTATCAAAAAATTAAAATCTTAGCGAGCCACGAATCCATAAATCCAAACAAAACTCTGTCTTAACACATTTCAAACAACAGTTTTGTCCACACTACACACTTTACCTCCTCTAATGAAGTGTCTCTTATCTGGCTCGTCGTTTGATCTCTTCTTGAGTTCTAAAACAAGCTTTTGCTGTTCGGCATGTTCCTCTGGAGACCTATCTGGACTGATGAAGACTTTACCGAAATGCTCCGAGCTACGGAGATGCCTTGCTCTAGTCAAAATCTGCTGCACGATTGTAGAGCTCGTCAAAGTCACCTTAACAGGTCTATCAGCCACCTGTTTCTTATCCTTGGATTTGATCAAACCAATTCTGCTAGCTTCTATTTTTGGCTTTTCACCAAGTTCCAAAAATAGAAGCAAGTTCTGAAAATGGTAAGGCTGAAAATGGTAGGGCTACAAAACTAAGTTGGAACACATCTTGTTTGAATACTGTTGAACCAAATTCAACTCTCTGCAACAACACAAGCAGACAAAATTTCTCAAAATCCGTTTTATCTGCTCAACTGGTTCTAAATTCTTGAATCCAGCCAAGGGTATAATGGGTGTTCTGGGAGTGCTAGGGCCACCAAATTTCGTAGGAACATTATTAGGGTCAATACCAAACGATTCCGACCTGTTTTGGGGCCATCCGACGAGTTTTAGAAAAATGTTCATTTTTGTTCATTTCGTTCATACCATGACTCAGGGAGTCTTGGGCGACTATTTTGACGTCAAAATAGTTAGTAAACACATCCCCCTACACCGTACAATCATCTCCAGCACTCTGCAGCCCCTTTAACAGACTGAAATGACCGTATCAATATCGGATACTCAGGAACCAGCTTTCTGATACGGAAATGGAATCAAGTCTCTAGTGGGCGTTCTGGGAGTGCTAGGGCCACCAAACTTTGTAGGAACACTATAAGGGTCAATACCAAACGATTCCGACCTGTTTTGGGGCAATCCGACGAGTTTTAGAAAAAATTTCATTTTTGTTCATTCCGTTCATTCCATTACTCAGGGAGCCTCTGGCGACAATTTTGACGTCAAAATAGTTAGTAAACACATCCCCCTACAGTTACACCGTGAAACCATTTCCAGCACTCTGAGACTACTTTAACAGACTAAAATGACCGTATCAAAATGCCTCAAAAACCGTATCATCTGGTTCCACAATTTCCGATTTATCTTCTGTTTGCCGCGGACGCGATACCTAAAACCTAATGAAAGCTTACGGCGCGGCTGACATTGTCATGCTTTCAGGCGCGCTACGTTTCAGGCGCGCTACGTTTCAGGCGCGCTACGTTTCAATACCACTCGTAGGTGGGCGCACCACTGTGAGTCTAGCTTCCTTGCTATTCATATTTCCCCCGACAGATGATACTCACTTAAAGTTGAATCGATGCATTTTCGAACGCTGATTCCGAATCACCCCACATGACATAGGGTTTAAATGCTCCCCTGGCGAAAAACTCTCTCGATGACCATATTAGGAAGTTTGCCTAATTTCTCGTTAGGGTTAGGGTTTCAGCATATGCTTTAGTTAGGGATTGGGTTAGGGTTAGGGTTGGGATCAGATTAGAGAGTTAGGGTTTCGAATACTGAATAGCTATTCATGATTCAGGGCCACATAGAGAACGTGTTAAAAAAGTCACGTGACAATCGAGTGTAGACAGTAGAGTGATTTATCATTATTATTACATTGTCCTGCGAGGGTGATGTTTTTCAATAATCAATAAAAACTTGAAGAAAGAAAGTTATCAATTATGACGAACAAGTTAAAAGATCAATTTATCAATAATCAAGATGTAAACTCAGATAATCTATGAAAATAATACTTGTTATAATAAATTGCATGATATAGTTATACTTTCTTGAGCTCATTTTTTAATATTTTAAATAAACTATCTTTTCGGCCCTTTAAGCTTAAAAGTGATCCCGCCACTCGGGATCATTTTTATCCCGAGTTGGCACATGGCCAACCTGTATGCTGTAAGTATTTTGGAATGATTAGTGAGTTTCGCCTAGGTGCCATATTTGATGGTGCGCGGCTTTTGGAGCAAAATTAGGTGTAAAAGTCGCGTAATTTGACGAAATTCGTTGATTTTTGTCGTATTATTCTGTCATATCTTCGGTTCCTGAACATGAATCATGCTGAAAATTTGTCAGAACCTTTCAATCATACTTAACTACCGAACCTAATTTAGTTGGGAGAGATTGGCCTTGATTAAGAGGTCTAAAAATGACAAAATAGGTATAAATTCGTTGATAACTCAAATTCTGAGCATCGAAATTGCTCAAACTAAATTAGGTTCAGTAGAACATAAGTGTTTACGTAAGCTGACCAAATTTCAACAAAATTGTTATATGGGAAGTATTATAACTTTTCGATTGTTTCAAAAATAATGTGCTGGCCGAAATAAGAGCTAAAAACCATTCAATGGTCAGCGCGCGCGTCTTATTGTCGATGGCGCACTGCCTACTGTAAGTATTTTTACATTTTTCTACTTTCTATCAATTTTCCATTTATCTACCTCGTCTATCAATAATTTTACCTGAGGACCCCAGGCTTTTATGTTCATTAACATATAAGAATATAGATTTAGCGGAATGACAGGCTGAGCGCGGCCCAGTAATCAATAATTTTGACTAATTTTTTAAATAATCGCATGTAAATTGTAACAAATATCGCCAGCCACCAACTTTAACAAAAGGTTGATATGCAATACTGGATGAGAGTGATACCGAAGGTGAATGGAAGTTATCTTAGTACTTTAGTAAAATAAACAATCGTAATAAATGAAAAAGGTGATAATTTTGATAAAGTCTCGTTCACAGACACAGAATCTAAAACATACAAAATAAAATAGCGTCTAAATCTACAAATAAAATATCGTCTATGATCTAAATCTAGAATTAAAATAAAATAATCGAATAATGTCACATAAAAGTTCTAAAAATATATCTATGATGTTTGATAAAATAAAACATATCACAGTGATAAATTAATAAATTAGAGTTTGGGCAGTAGCCATTTCAGTCATCATGATAAAATAGGGCGGAAAACAGAACAACGCCCATAAAACAGTGGCCCAAGAATCTGTCAAACAGAATCGAGTAAAAAATAAATCCACTTCCATGACAAACTGGCCTCCGTTATATCCGCTCATAATGCGGTTCCGAGTGCCTGCTAATCCCGGACCCGTTCTGTCCTGGGTAGCTGGACCCTTGCTTGTAGTTATACCGCTCATAGTCCGGCCCGGAATTTGTATCACTTCCGCAGCTGTTTATAGTTTTCATCTTGATATAGCTGTTGTCAGCGGGGCCCGGTTTGGGGCTGTCGCAGTGGTTGGAAGAGTTGAAGCTACGGTACGGGGCTGCTGCTGTGTCTTGGTCCGGGGTTGGCATCTGGAGATTGTAATGTTAACAATTGAGAATATGTTCCGAAACTAAAGTTGTGAAATACCGAGTAACTACCGGTATTGGGGATGATAATATCCTATTTCAAGGGTAACGTTAGATCACCCCTTTATTTCAATGTTTTGAGCGTATATCCCCTTACTCTCAGTGCAATGGGATTCCGCCATACTCGAACATAACAGAATAATCCATATGGTAAAATACCACAATGACCCTAAAAAGCAGTACAGATAATACAAGAAGCGCGGTGTCTAGGAACACACAACGAGATAACCCACTCACTAGCTGACGGAGACAGGCTCTATTACATTTCTTGTAGAAAACAGCTGCAGCCACGCCCAGTATAACCACTGCTGACAGTCCTAAAACTAATGGAGTCCACATCTCTGAAAAATAGTTGGTAAAATATTTGCACAAAAGATTTTAATAAACCCGCGTGTCGCGTATCCTCATGTTTTCATAGTTTATCGGTCGATTAAAGAGTTTGGTTTAAAGACGTCTAGATAACTTAAGTTGTGGATTTTCTTTTTGTTATTATAAATTATAATAATCACTGATAGAAAGAAAACCATCTTGTCGCTAGAGAAGAATACGTAGATGGTAACGACCAAATATGGTATTAATAAATCGTATTTTCAATCGCCTTTTCAACCAACCTTCAATCAACCGATGAAGAAACACTATACATTGTGTTATTCAACCAAAAAAATGGACAGTAGAAAGTTGCTATTCGCTGTATTTGGCAAACTTCTCGATTTCTTCAAAGTGGCGAGGTCCAACAAAAAGCATACAAACTTTTATCGAATACAATAAAATCAAAACATTAAAATGAGGCACATTCTTATCATTTCTTTCATTCCATTATACTCCTGATGCGGTAGCGATGATTTGCCCACACTCTCTTTTATTCTACTGATAAATGCCTCAATAGTCTTGGACCACCTATGAACTTATCATTTGACCAAACAAATGTTAAATTATAATTCTTTGCATACACTTTACAGTTCTTAACGTATAAAAGCACAAAGGTGCACCAAATATGACTAATGATGTACCTAATTGTGATTGTCTCGAGAGCATTACTTATTCTTAAACCAGACACCCCAATGAGCATCCGTGGTTCGGAACAATCGAGTAAATGTTACCTCACAAAAACCGCGTTAAAAGATATGTAGCCTACTTGGCGTTTCTTTTGTGTGTTCTATTAAGCTTAGGCTATAGATTTAACCGGTAAAAGTGAAACATTCAATCTTGCTCACTTGCTGTACCGTTTAACACGTACGTCGCGTATCTTTTGTTTTTTAGTGTCTGTGGACAAAGAGGACAAAAAGGAAAAAAAGGATCAAAAACCCAGAAACCTTTCTTATCTTAGACTGTGAGATGGCGGAGGACAGTGATTCGTTTTCAGACACCAACCCAAAAGTTGACAAAGCTATTGGAAGTGTTATAGCCCTTATCTTTATTGTCGGAATCCTGGGAAACTCCTCGGCATTCTGCTACTTTTTGCAAAAGAGAAAGAGTTGGGTCCCCAACATGAACAAACTCTACATAGTTATCACATCATTTGATATTTTAACTACTCTTTTAACCATTCCAGTGATGATGTCATTGTTTAACCACCGTAAACCCATGCTATTTGAATCTTCTGTATTTTGTGGAGCCTGGACCACCACGCACGTCTTCTTGATAAGGATGTCCATATTTTTAGTCGCTGTCTTGAGCATAACAAGAACAATTGAAATCTGGCCCTTTATCAAGCTCCCTTTCGAACAAGTCAAGCTGTCCTCCATATTTGTGATGATAACAGGATATGGAACTCTAGTGCTCACTCTGGATGGTGCATTCTTTGCTTCTGGCTGGATAAAAGGATCCTACTACCCTACTCTCTGGTCCCACTGCGTGTTCGCAACAACCGAACACGTGCAGTCTCTAAGAGCCAAGACGTTTCTCTTCGTGCTCTTTCAGGTTGAAGTAATCCTGCCTTCTATATTGATCTTCATCAGTCTTGTTGCGTCCACCATATCGCTGATTAAAGGGCGGCGTAGTGTTACAACTGAGAGCGAAAGTGAGGCTCGGCACGCCTCGATTACCATTACGCTTGTTATAGTTGTTTTCTTGTTATGTAACATGCCAACTTTTGTCTACCAATTTCTGTTGGACTTTAAACCATCTTTGCTGGAAGCCAAGACAAGCAACGGAATGTTCAAAAAGTACGGAAACTTGTTATTCCTGTATGTCCCGTATATTCTGAATGCTGCACTAAACCCGTTGGTGTATTGGCTGAGGATGTCCCCATACAGAGAGCAGCGCCGGACATTTGCTAGATATTTAGGGAGTACTCTTAAGTGCTCAAGAGTGAAGCGAAAAGATCATCAGGAGAGATCAGAAAAAGAAGAGATAAAACCTAGAAAGAAGGTTAAATTTAACCTTTAAAAAAGACATTACAATCTCCAGTGTTAGCAAGGCTTGGAACTATTTCTATTTCCTCAAATTCGAACTTGTCATGTGTATCTTGAAAGGATATGACGAAATTTATGTGTTTATGATTATGATTCATCATCTAGTTTAAATATGAACTTTCCTTGAACCTTAGAAATAGAATTTAAGATTTAAGAACCGGGCAAGAAACGTTACTGATTCTAGAGTGCGCTGACTTGTGAACTGTGCTTTTAACTGTTTTAGAAATAAATAACGTCTTATGTTTTGACCATGCTCGATAATATATGACAAACTTAGCTATAGTTTTTTAAAAAGGGTTAAAATAGATTAAATACAAATGCTTCCGACCAGAGTTGAAATTCTGTTAGAATTGAGGATAAAAACATACCCATAACTTTAGTGTCGATCTGCTGAGAGAAGAAAACGCACTCGAACATTGAACTGACAGTAAGATTCTGCTTCATGATAACGAAATTGAGGTTCTCTGGCGATAAATCCTTGATGAAACTGCAAAGATAGGGGTGTCATTATTATTAGCTGTCAGTTTTATGTTTCTTTCAAGTACGTCTGTGTCATTTTAGAAGCGCAATTTGATGAAAAAACATGTTTTATAAAACGAAAATGTTTTTACCACATATATAATGATTATATATAATTTTGATTTACGAGATTCTTTTTAAAAGATTTTCAAATTCATCAAATTTCTGATCATTTATTATAATGATCTGCCAAACAATGTCAACCCATCTCATCGGAAATTTAATGAATTTGAAAATCGTTTAAAAAGAATCTCGTAAATCAAAATTAAGAATTCCACATTGCCCGTACTTCATACTTACTGGCAAAGTACAGTGTGTCTAGAGTACTCTATCGTGATGTTCCATTTCTGAGATTTAGACTCGCTGTTAGGAATTCCAAACTCCAGACTGCTTCCCCGGATATGGGGCCGTATTTTATATTTTGTACAGTCTGAAATAATTGTCACGTGGTTATTTGTCACGTGGTTAATTGTCACGTGGTTATTTGTCACGTGGTTATTTGTCACGTGGTTATTTGTCACGTGGTTATTTGTCACGTGGTTATTTGTCACGTGGTTATTTGTCACGTGGTTATTTGTCACGTGGTTGTTTGTCACGTGGTGATTTGTCCGCGCGGCTCTGCCTTGTGCTGAGACGTGGATTCTGGTTGGGAAGTGAAACAAACACGTGACAGCAGTTAACTAGTCAGCTTCCACTATTGACCTATCAAACCCCAGACTCTCCTATCAAAAATAGATGCTCAACCTCCTCACCAGAATCAAATTAAACATCTATTATTATAGTTAAAGCAACTTCTCACGAACAAACATCACCACCATGGCTACCATTAAATTGGACGTTGATCCAATACTGGAGTGCTTCTTAATAACTATAAAAGAATCTACCGATAAGAAAAAATATCAACCAAACTTAATAAAAATGTGTACCTGAGCAGCCAGCCTCTTTTACGAGTATTTTAATCCCTGAAGGGTCGATATTTCCGTAATCCGTTACATTGTGCAGGCATATGTTAACGAATGTCTTTTTTCCATGAACTCGTTCGCTGAAATTAAAACAAATATAATTTAATCATGATGTCACGATTCATGAATCCTTCCCCTAATTTTAAAATTTCCTTGGAGTAAAAACAAGAGTCTAGTTAAAAAGCCATGTAGGAATCGATTGCTTAGGACTGTGTGAACTATGAAATCCCCATCCTTCAAAAGGTGACGATATTTGAGGTGATCAGGATTAATCAGGTTGTTCCCTCTTATTAAACATTCTAAGATCTGTTCCAGTATTCAATCTCTCTTCGATCCTTTTCTTAAAAATCTTAGTGCCTTGGCCAGTAAAAAGTGCCAAGGATTGAGTAGAAATCCAATACAAGCAGGGTGACACCTTCAACAAAAGCTTAACTACAATAGTATTTATATTTATTATTTATATTGTAGACAATAGAGGCTGTTAGTCCTTGGTCCGGGTATGGGAACGAACAATGGTCCAGAACAAAAGCCTCGTTTTCAGAAATTTACTGGCACTGTAGTGGTTAGTATCATATTTTAAACATGTTTTAAACTAATTAAAACACTACAAATCTATTGCATTTATTGAGGACGTTACAGAAGGAATTGATTTAATATAGTTTGAGAAGTCCTAACTCTCCTCACGTCCGAAAATGTCGTTTCTCTTGTATCAAATATAAGCACAGCTATTATATTCGGTAGAACACAGTATGTATAACCCTGGGCAGTATCTAGATAGCCCGACCACTGTCACGAACAACTGTCTACCAGATCATATTACTGCATAATAACAGTATCCCCTGAATCAAGCAGGGTTCACATTATCGCACGCGAATTTCAATCAGCGGTGGTGTCAAGGCTTATTAAACGATTAAGCAACCTTACGAGATCAGTTCACCACCTCCAGCCGCTGTATTACAACCCAGTCATCCAGCTGATGTATTACAGCCTAGTCCTCCAGTTGCAGTTGATCATCCCCCTTCTACAAGCAGAGTAGCAACTGATAATGCTTCACAAAAAACGAACGACTTAGGCCCTTTGTTTCTGTCTAGTTCTAATGTACCGTCACAATAGTGACTTTAAATATATAATCAAGAGTACTAGCCTGCTGATTTATCGCGGCTGTTCTCATCTGAAACTATGCTTGGTGTAGCTCGTTGGGATAATGGATATAAAACCAAATTATTCTCCCTTCTCTAGGTTACGCTGCATTCGCATGGCAGCATAGAATAGACGAAGCCCAATACATAAAGACCAAGATGCAGGCAATTCAGAGACACGCTAGTATCATGATATCAAGAGGACTCAAAAGCACACCACTAGAAAACTTGGAAATCATGGCAGGAATCAAACCCATTGATCTAAAACTCAAGGAACTGGCCATACTTTCAGCTCGGAGACTCAAAATTAACGGTAATTGGAATTCTAACTACCAGTTTAGCAGAACAGGAAACTGTAAGTCCCATGCATACAATCTGGACAAAGCTATGTCAACCATACCAGCGATGGAATGTAAAATTACGGACATTATCGAAACTACCACAGTTTTGGATCGGAAGTTTAAAACAATAATACAGGAGCGGTCTAAAGCAACACAGCAGGTCGGAATCACCCCAGCAACACATTGGGCTATTTTCACAGACGGCTCAAAAATAGAACAGTTCCCAGGTGCAGGTTACTGTGTAATAAGAAACGCAATCGAGGTCCAGAGACAAAGTTTCCACCTAGGCACTAATGCAACGGTATACCAGTGTGAACTGTTTGCTCTCAACACATCAGCTCACTGGGCAACTATCAATATTTCAGAACCTGGGAGTATAACATTCTTTTCAGACTCACAGGCAGCAATCCTAGCAGTCACACACCACACGGTCACATCTAACTTAGTTCTTGATACCATTAACTACCTTAACAAACTAGGACAAACCCACTCAGTCAATGTCAGGTGGGTCCCAGGACATGCAGGAATTCCAGGAAACGAAAGAGCTGATGAACTAGCCAGAGAAGGATCACTCACAATCGCTCTAGGTCCTGAACCCTTCATCAGCATATCCGAAGGAGCAATTAAGACGGCAGTAAAGGAGTATTTACACGGAATTCATCTTCGTAGATACAGGAACACGGCACTGAGCGAGAAAGGGAAAATACCACTAACAATCCTACTCACCAAATATAAATACAGGAATCTTGGACTTGCAGGAAATCATCAAAGATGGCTAACCTGGCTCTTCACAGGACATAGCCCCCTAGCCTACTTCCAATACAAGGCAAACAATTTCACATCCCCCCGTTGTGAACACTGTCCAGAAGAGGAAGAAACCTCGGAACACTTCATGTGTCACTGTATAGGATACATGACCATTAGGTTAAGAATTTTCGGTAATATATTTCTAACCTGGGAAGACATAGTATCAGCTAGAATTAGTACGGTTATAAAATTTATCGAGGCAACCAATAGACTTTTAAAGGAGGATCTTTTCGAGGATCCCATTAACCACTAATACAAATAGGACATCTTGCAGTTTACTAGGCATTGACTGTCCCTGGAAGTCCCTGTCTCCCCATCGTTAACCCGTAAGGGGTTGCACCAGGGGCGGTGGTAACAGAACTTCAAGACTCTCGGAGTCTGTTGTCGATATCTATGTATAATATATTTATGGTATATAATTTGGGAGTCTCTCTCTCCAGCAGCAGGAGTTGGAGAATGGGGACGCGTTGTGAAAGCCACCGCAAGGAAGGCTTACAGTCGACGCCGACCAATCAAAAGAAGCTCGTTGGGATAGTATAGGAATTCTAGTTCCTATAGTTGGGAATGAGGTAGTTGTCTGTTCACAGATCGCCCTCTAAAAACTTACAAGGAAATATTTCCTGTAGATCCTTGGTATATAAGCAACATTTGACAGAGCTGGTAGACAGGTGTTCGTGGACAGTTGTTCGTGGACAGTTGTCCGCGGACAGTGGTCGGGCTATCTAGATACATGGTTAGTGCGTTTACTCGAGTATTGCAACCCCTGAGCGCTTATTACAAGAACATTGATACCACGATGAATAATGGATCAACTGTTTTACCGATAAAAAGAGATTTTGGAAGATTTTTGAAGATGAGCTTTTCTGCCGTGCCCGTCTCCTAGACAGAAATTTCGCGGTTTGACTGAAATTTTGACCAGTAAACAATTAGTGAGGTCGGTCAGAGTGGCACAAGTCGCCATCAAGGTACTGGAAGCAGTATATCCGGAGAAAACTTTGTAACTTTGATGCAATGAACATTTTTAATATGTCCTAACGGTAGAACATATTCGAATTGCAGCTTTCCGCGACCCAAATTGCACTGTTTTAACTCAATTTTCCTTAAATGACCATCTTACAGGGTCACTGAGGATGGTACAAGACACTATTGAGGTACTCAACGTTCTATCTGTTGAAGTGCAATTTTAAAATTTTCGGCTCATGTCCCAGAATAAATGGGCCGCCATAGTGCCACGAGATTGCCACGAGAGTGCCACGAGAGTGCCACGAGAGTGCCACGGGAGTGCCACGAGAGTGCCACGAGAGTGCCACGAGAGTGCCATCGAGATCCGGATGTATTACCGGTATTTTCAGCGAAATAAAACTCCAAGGATAAACAGGACTTACCCCACACTACTAATACCACTACTAGTTACTACTGCTAGTTTTTACTCACCCCATGTTACAGAGATATCCAGAGAATTCCTGGTCATTCCTCACTACAGACATTACACTGTGGTCTTCTGCTTGAACCGTCATGTTACCTGCCCGGATAAATAAAGTGAGGAAACATTCCTAAAACTCTAATTTGTACATCCCTAGTACAACTTCTTGGTAATTCGGTAATCTGTCGATGGTCACATAACGCTCCTTAACCTAGCGGTTTGTGACCATGTGCCCCCCCCCCCTCCCCGATTGATAAAGTACCCGATAATAACTGAGTAAAAGAACCTTGAAATTTGAGAACATTGTGCTCAACATCCTCGTTGGCGTAATTGCGAGTAAAGACACTGACTCTGCCGAAGTACATCGTATCTGGAGGAGGTGTTAAAATGTTAACAATGTTAATCGTGTTAACAACGTTAAAAAAAGATTGAGATGGCTTTTTAAAAAGGAACTTTGAGAACAGACATGTTAAAAAAGAATTGCAACATGATCAACTTACCGTTTATATAAGTCCACTCTTCAGAAAGTCCATAGTACGGAGCACTCTTTATAGGAATTCTTGTTTGCTCTGCCTCCTGTGTGTACATTGTGTGTACATTGTGTGTACATTGTATGTACATTATGTGTACATTGTGTGTACATTGTGTGTACATTGTGTGTACACTGTGTGTACATTGTGTGTACATTGTGTGTACATTGTGTGTACATTGTGTGTACATTGTGTGTACATTGTGTGTACATTGTGTGTACATTGTGTGTACATTGTGTGTACATTGTGTGTACACTGTGTGTACATTGTGTGTACATTGTGTGTACACTGTGTGCACATTGTGTGTACATTGTGTGTACACTGTGTGTACATTGTGTGTACATTGTGTGTACATTGTGTGTACATTGTGAAGTGAACATACTCATTTATTTTCAATAAACTCTATTGCTCACAGTGCTGACATAATTAAAACACTACAAAGTACAAATCTGTCGCATTTCTTGGGGTAAATAAGAGGGAAGTATGATTTGAGATATTCGAATAAAGAACCCACCGTATCAACTGCGAGGACGAGCAAGTCATCCTCAGTCTTCCCTAGAGGAGTGAGAATCTGATCGTAGCGAGGGTGTGAGTAGAAGTTAGCTACTTTAACCCATCCTCCAGTGCTGGGGGCTATGAGAAGGAACCAGACCGCTACATATGGGAGCATTACATGGGTCCTATCTGGCATTTTGTCATTTTGTGATTAAAAACAAAATTAAATAGTAGTGTAACAAGAAATCATTTAAAAACTGTCATGAATAGTGAGGAATGAGTATAATATGAAGATTGAGAATATTATATGTGGTCTAAAGAACACTGAGTAGCATTGTTCAAATGACATGGCACAGAGTAGAGAGTAAAAATGACAAGCAAACATCTCACTGGCGAGCCACTTTCCATCTTAAGATATTTCATTGTGTTTAAATTAGCGCGGACGTGACGGTCGTTTAAAGCTGCGAAGTTTAAAGTAGAGAGAATAATACCTACCTATTTAATCTCAATATGATTTTACAGACGATGCTCCAATTAATTTACACTATGCTATTCCTGGACGGCTCCAGCTAAACTCACACTTTCACCCAATGCAGCATTGTCCACAGTTTTCCTCACCTTAACTTCATACCAGTTTTATAGCACCTTCTTCACTTCATTCATCCCAGTCACACACGGGCCAGGCCTATCTCTAAATCTAATCAGTGGAAAGTTCTAAGACAATAAATGTTTGTAAACGTACGATTATTATCACCTTTTTGACGAAGATATTTTGATTCACAAATCATTAATCAAACCATCTTTTATCACCTTGAAATTTAGATTCAGTTTTCTCTTGATCTAGTCCTCAACATCCCTATTTACGCTCCACTATTACAAATCTTGAGTCGATATGTCGTCGGTTTTCAATCAGCGATTGGGGTTTATAAATGATTACGCTACTGTAATTTCAACACAATAGTTAATAATTATCTGTAAAAGTAAAACTGATCATTGCATGAAATTTGTATTTTGTCGCCGATAGCAGTTGTTTCTCGTCTACTTTCCAGCAAGTGGTCATAAGTTTGCCAGAAGGTGATTAGTAGCTGCTTAACTTGGTAACCCATAACCCAGCCATAATCGTTCAGATTATTCCGGTCCAAATAAGGTCCGATAAGGCAAATCACAGTCCAAATTAGAGTCACTTATATTAGATAGGATTCAGCGATATTTACATCACATTTCAATGATGTAGGCAGATCAGGCGATGATTTACGCTGGAAGTTACATGGTAGATTATTAAAGGATTTAGCTGTCTTGATCGCTCCCACTTCTGGTTTAGATCTTGGCTCTGAATTGTAAAAACTTTTGTAGAGTATCACGCTTAAGAACATTTTTATGGTGAATCACTGCTCCTTACTGATCACAAAAGTGGAATATACCAGTTCTACACTGACTTCATGATCAATTGTTATTTAAAGCTCTTTGCGGTCTAAATAGTCATGAATAACAAAATTATATCACAATTTAGCAAAAAGCTGTCTTCATACAATGGAAGAATCAGTCGCCGATTCTGAGGGACAGTCGTCGAATCTGGACTTCAAGCAGAAAGCATCCCTATCGCTTGAAGATTTAGTCGATAGAATCTTTCCTAGATTGAACTTGAAGCTTTTCTTACTGTTTCTGAGTGCTCTGAGCACTATTTTCCATGCTGCTGCAGTGACATATGTAACCGCCCTCGCTGGAAACATACCATACAAGGATTGGGTATGTGTTTCAGAGGATTGTGTGTCACTCTTCAGAACCGCATCAGCAGCCGGCTTGGAAGGGGACTTCTTCTCACAGAAGACGATCTGCGAAAACAATTTAGTAGCTGGCACCGATTTTGATTGGACGACTCAAAAGACAACTTTCACGACGGATTGGAACATATATTGCAAGGACGAGGCCAAGTTGTCCCTCATCTCCAGTATCTCCTTTTTTGGAGCTCTCTTTGGTTTACTGTGTTCAACAGCCATATTCGACAGAATAGGCCGGAAAAGAGGTGCCCTCCTAGGCTGTGTTATTGTAACAATGGGAACAGCTGCCAGTGCTGCTGCTCCCAACTACCAGACACTGCTAGTCCTGAGGGTCATATCAGGGTTCGGGCTCCTGATCAACTACACCGGCTCCTACTGCTGGATCATAGAGTTCGCACCCACTCACCTCAGGAACCTTGTGAGTGGGTGCTATAATCTGGGATGGACGTGTAGCTATGTGATGATGGTGGTGCTAGGGTACCTTATAGACAAGTGGGAACATCTCTACCTTGCGGTGGGTGGGCTCTGTGTTTTTAGTTTAGTCATGTTCTTCATTACTCCGCTTCCTGAGTCTGCTCGCTTTCATCTGGTCAGAGGACGGGACGAGGAGGCAAAGAAAACCTTAGAATATCTGTCCAACATCAGTGGGCACCCAATTTCTTTCGGTACCGTTCATCTTGTATACGACAAAAGAGTGCAGAACTACTTGAAGCAGGTCAAAGACTTCATGAAGTATCCGAGCATGCTTAAAGGTCCCTCCTATGTATGGTTGGCTGGTTTCTAGCCGCTCTGATAACCTACGCTTACACGTTCGGATGGAGTAAGATAGGTACTGATCTGTACACCAGCTACATGTCTGCTGCCCTCGGAGGAGGACTTGGATACATCCTCTCTATCCTTGTCTGTCGGGTCCTCGGGAGAAAGCGAGCAACCTTGTTCTTCTTCGGTTCTGTTGCTGTGGTGAATGTCATCGCCATGCTGGATGTGGACCTCTCAGACACGTGGACTTTAGAGCACGTGGCGAGTTTGCTGGGGAATGTGAGTATTCTAGGAGCGTTTGCAATGTTGTATCTCTACACCGGGGAACTGGCTCCAACCTCGCACCGTGGTATGATCATGTGTCTCAGTTCTAGCTGTGCTCGATTCGGCAGCTTTATTGGCCCGTATGTGAGCTTGTTGTACGGGGTGACTGATAGGAAGATCCCTTTGGCTCTGTTTGCTGGTTTGTCCGTGTGTGCGTTTGTGGCAGTCTTGTTCCTTCCTGATACTACTGGAGTTGGGATACCAGAGACACCCAAAGATATTGAGATCGTGAGCGAAGAAAAGAACGGGGTTGATAATGCTTGTAGTCAATAAAGCAATAATGACACATTCATATCACCTTACACATGCACCCTCAGTAGATCTAATTTCAGATGGCCAATCTATAAGTCCATAAACTTGAGAAACTTATTAATTTCAACGTCGATACTTTCAATTGGCATGACCCCCAAACGATCTGACTGTAAGACTTCGTACGAACTGTATCTTATGTAATTGTACATGTATCCTACGTAACATGTAAGTTACAGGTGAACCCTCAAACCTCAGTATTGAATAATAAACAGTCGTTACGTAAGCCAACAGAAGGTCTGTGTCAGATTTGTATACTGTTATTTTAATTTATTTAGATACCTTAGTTCGTATATTTATGGCGGGTAATATCATGGGGGGTAATATTGACTTGGCGGGTTTTATTATGGCGGGTAAAAATATAGATATGGTAGTGTAACCCGCCATAATAAAACGAACTAAGGTACTGTTATTTTAACTTATTTATACCTATCAATTGCAAAGTCGAGATTTTATGTTTAAATGACCCTCAAACTTATTTTAACTTATTTGTATGTATTGTACATATTCATGAAATTTTATTAGTCAAAATTCCTAATGTTTTCCTTAGTATCATTACAAAATACTAGGGATCAGAAAATAATGTACATAATACTAATAGAAAATTTATGGGAATAAAGTGGGACCTAAGTGTCCAATCTAACTCATAATGGGACATTATTTAAAAGAAAAGTTAATTAATTGAAAAAATATGATTGACAAAAATAGGTTGAAGCTGATTCATTTCACGGTGTGAGCTCAGCTTCTAACTACTCACCATTCTACGAATTCGGTAATATTAACCCCCTTTTTTGTCATCTCTACCTAAAATGGTAACAAATGTTATGATCAATATTCGAGTCTCTATAAGTATACTTCGACGTATAATAGATAAGGACACAAACAGATTCAAATAAATTAAAATATAAATCTATTGCATGTTTTTCACAGCAGTCCATACCACCAAAAAGAAACTTCGTAAGTTTCAGATTATTTTGTTATAAATTTCATGGAGCAACACATTTTTTAAAGGGGTTATAAATCAGTAGGAAACAAAACGACATGACGCTATACCGAAATAATTCACATAATAAGTATTATTTATGCAATGGAAATATGGAAGAATATAACGAAAACGTTCTGACAATCAATGACATTTTTTACATGATTCATTTCATATCATATACCTAACACATATTCGAACTTTTCGTTAAAAATTAAAACAATTCCTTTGGACCTTTATAATATTATGGGGCCAGCTACACCTGGCTAAAGCACTTAAACCCCGAGTATCATTTGTCAATTTACAACTCAAATACAAATCAGTTACAAGTCAGAGCCTTGGACAGTGTAATCCTCTAAATACCGAAACCTCGGCTGCTTTCTTCGGCGTAAGCATATAGAAGATCTTCATCCTCCACAGACGTTTCCTTCTCCAACCCATGGGAATTCCAGGGCTGCACCTCAGCGGAACCAAACACACAATATTGGAGAGAGCCAAATACCCAGACTGCTGAAGCCGACAGGAAGGCTATTTTCCACCGTCCATGCACTTTCTCATAATCGTTTGGATCAACATTATTGACAAGGAATCCAACAACAATGGGCCCCATGATTCCAGCTACAGCACTAAGGCCGTTACCAAAACCACAGAGGATCGGAGAAAAGCGAGGAGAGAGATCAACATAGTTCGCATAGTAGCATAGGTTAGCATAACCCTGGAAATACATTGCTATGTTCAAGAGAATCAGGATGGGGACATTGTTCTCACAGTAGGCCATGCCAGTCAAAAGAATGGCCGAAATAACGTGGGAGGTAACACTACACCATTTTCTTGTCCATGTTTTTGACAGAATTTCGTTTCTTACAAGAAGATCAGAAAAGTATCCACCCGAAATGTAACCAATGTAAATCATGACGTAAGGTAGCGAGGCTATAAACCCGGAGTCTTTCATGTTGTACTGCAAAACTTCGATCATAAACTTGGGAATGTCTGACAGTAACATGAAGTACCCATACCTGAGAATTTTGTATTGTAATTCATAATTCGTAAATAAAGGGCCAAAGATTCCTGAATTTGCCTTACATTTAAAAGGTACGAGTAGAAATAGTCATTCCTTGAGATTAACATTAACATAAAAATATTATGATCAACATACCCATTACACATGTGCATGACACAAGTTGACCAAACTCTTCCGCTTTTCAGAATACCTTTCCAGGGTATTTCAGATATCTGAACTGCTTTCTTAGGGACTGTAGTCGCGGCCAAGTACTCCTTTTCAGCGGTGGAAGTCCAGTATGATGTGGCCGGATCATCTCTAACAAAGACAAACCATAGCAGAGCCCATAGTACTCCACAGCCTCCATACACATAGAAAAGACTGGGCCAGCCCCCCAAAAAGCTACCAGAAGCTAACAGTCCAGAAAAAGAGTTCGCCAGGACACCCCCCAGATACTGACCCCCGGCACATAAAGCTATAAACGTGGCAAACTGAGAAGAAGGGGCCCAGTTTCTAATGATGTTCAAGGCCACCGGGAATGTTACACCTTGCCCCAATCCAATGAAAAGACGCAGTGCAATAAACAGCCAAAAGTTGACACCAGAGATAAAAGGACAAAGGAAGGTTGCTAGGATGGCGATGAAGAGGCCGATACCAAAGACTTTGCTGGCCCCAAAATAACAGCAGATCACAGCGCCCGGAAGCTGCGTGGCAAAGTAGCCCCAGAAAAAGGAGCTCAAAATGTAACCTAGGAAAACATGTATTAACCTTTTGTAATGTTAACGGACTTGAGAAATATAGAAAATACAGGATAAATAAGTACCTTGTTGAGCCTGGGACCAACATCTTTTATCATTTGCAGTACAATTTTCTGGTGCAGCCACCATATCACTATCCAACGCGAAACTGAAAAATCATCATTCAATCAAAAATATTTATTATCTTAAATATATGGGTTGTAATGATAAGTGGAATGAACTAGAGCAGTAGTTAAGAACGGAGGTTGACTGGACTACCTGTAGTCAGGAAATCGTGGCTGAAATAGGACAAAATATGAACGAAGAATACAGTTAGTAAAAATGTATAAGAATTGAACATGCCCCTCAACAGAGCTGAAATGTATTTAAATAAGAACACACTGTACCTGACGTTCATACGTAAGATGTAGTCCATTATGAACCCGCAACACACAAGCAAAACTATCACATATCTAAACCAGCCCTGGAGGAAGAAAAAACAGGTTAAACAAAAAAGTAAAATGTGTCTTCTCCTTTTAACCAATCTAGCCGACATGAATAGAAATATGATAATCACACCGTTAAGATGGCGCGGAAAATATTGGGGTCAGTTCGCAGTGTTAAGGTAATTGGTGGTGGGGCTGACCATATTAAAGTATATTAAAATGTAGATTTTTTCCCGATTTAGGGGCGGGGATATACTTTAATAAACCTATATCCCTATCTTTTTTGAGGCCTAAATCAAAAATCGTTGTCCACAATAAGCTTGAAATGCAATTCTTAATCGATTTCGAAACTTTCATGCAAAAATATTGAAAACTGATAGAGTTATCTTAATTTCAAAGAAGTCATTTTGAATAGTATCCCGAACGGCCGAACCGAGATATGTGCAATTTTGTTCATGGAGGTCTTTTTACTTAGTATCCACTATTCAACAGATATTGCGCTATATCTTTCACATAAAGTTAGACTCGTTCAAAAATATTAAAATTTGATCGAATTTTGGGCAAAAGCTTTCAAATTTGGTGCGTATGCCCAAATATGGACATATGATTTTAAGCCATTTTTTGACCAAACTGGATGTAAAAGTGTAAATTCATGAACTAGTCCAAAACAGGCTCTTCTTGCAAATCTAAACGAAGAATATAGCGCGACTAATTTGGGTATATTAAAATAAAATAAAAAATATTAGATAAATAATAACGAATAACTTACAGCAGGTTTAGCTGATGTTTTGTTCTGTGCAAAGTTCTCTTTCCTCCCACCGAGCAAAGGAAATATTTCGCCTTTCATAATATGTTCAACTGAAACAACGTCTATCAGGCGAATCTACAACATCTTTAAGGGGGGTTCAGCCTGAAATTTTGGTGAAACTTGATTCTGACATAGCAGACCAACAAACTAGGACCTGTTACCAAACTTTTGAGGGGGTCCTAGGGCTTTTTCAAAATGTTCAAAATGTTCCCATGAAATTTTTCATGATTTAGGCCTTATGATTTGCCGAAGTCACTTTCGCAAAAATCGCGAACTGGGATATGGGCAGTTTTCTTCATTTTTAGTGGTCTTTTGGCCTTAGTCTCCATATTTCTATAAATTTATCAAGCTATATATCTCAGAGAATGTATAGTTTAGGCTTACCTTTTATAGAAAGTTGGTCTCATTCAAAAATATTGATAATTTATGGCTCAAAATCTATCAAATGTGGTGCGTATGCCCAAAAATGGGCAATAGTTTTTGGCTCATAGCTCAATCATTTTTTGTCTAATTCGGATGAGGATTCATATACGAGTTCAGGGGACCACTAGCTACACGTAGAACACCTAATATCTGGGGATGTTAAGGTAATTTGGCCTAATTGGGCTCAAATATGGGCGCGGCTGCACCACAGGCACCGGTGGGCGGTTGGAGTCCGGTACCCCCTCAAAAGTTTGGTCACGGGTCTTAGTTTGTTGGTCAACTGCTATGTCAGAATCAAGTTTCACAAAAATTACAGGCTGAACCCCCCCCCCCCCCCCCCCTTAAACGAAATAAAATTCTTCATATCCAAGTTATAAACAGCAATAAGGTAAGCATCTGGTCTTCTATTAATTCAAAAAAGTAAAAAGCATTGGCAAGTGATTTAGGGGGAACGACTAACGAGGCATCTGTTGTAAATTCAGTCTGTGAAGGTACAAATCAAACTGACAAAATCTAAGGAATGGTGGCTGGATTTAGATGAGCACTCAATTAGATACTTAGTGCAGAGAGCAGAGAACATGCCTGTTATTGGCTGGTAGTAGTACTACCACTGAATGCAAGTGATATGTGATAAGATAAGAGATATGAGAAAACCTGAGATGATGGGGTTAGGGGGGGGGGCAGCCTGAAATTTGTGTGAAACTTGATTCTGACATAGCAGTTGACCAACAAACTAAGACCCGTGATCATATTTTTGAGGGGGTCCCAGACCCCAAATCACCTTAACATGCCCAAAACCCAAAAACTATATACCCATGTTTGGGCATACGCACCAAATTTGATAGATTTTGGCCAATAAATTGGTCAAATATCAATATTTCAGGCTGGACCCCCCACCCCTAATTTAATACAACGATTCAAAATTGGATCTCAAAGAAACACGACGCCTCATTATCAGGTCATCTTAACAAACTCACATACAACATAATGTAAGATAATACTAGCCTATCAATACTAGCCTAGTATTACGTGATGGGCGCTCAGAATTAAATTTACTCTAATGCGGTTGGTTTCAACTGAGCGAGTTTATGCTTTTGCACAATTTTAACTTTTGCACTGTCTATACTTTCGCAATTCAACTACGATAGTGAAGTCCCGGCCGTAGGCACGGGTTACACTAGTTATAATATACTAGTGTAACCCGTTCCTATAACGGCCGGGACTTCACTATCGCAGTTGAATTGCAAAAGTACAAACAGTACAAAAGTTTAAACGTTGCAGAAATATGAACTCCCTCATTCGAACCGGCCGCATTAGAGTTCCTAACACGTAGCTCTTTACTAATTTTCATGGAGTGATTAAATTTTGTTCGGCTACATGTCATTTAATTATTCTACTGTGTTACTGTTTCAAGGATAACTAAGTCATTATGTAACCCGATTTACGGTCCGTTGAACCTGCACCATGATCATTAGCGGGGGATGACAATTAAGTTTCGTAAAAATAGGAGCGGAACAGATTAATGAAGGAAAAGTGGGTGCAAAACCGTACACCACATACGACTGATACAGCACTCTGATCTACCTTTTTCAAGCTCTGTTCTGTCAGTGCAGTTTCCGGCGGGACCTTTGAAACAGCTTTACTGTATTTAACCTGATCTCAGCTTGTACACTTTCCTGAACGGCAGATTCCACGGTGGTCTGAACAGATTCCAACTGCTTTAATTTACCCTCAAGAAGTTCACTCTGCAGTTTGATAACCAAATTTTGTTGCCGAATAAGAAAGCTCTTCAACTCCGAGCCGCATCTTATTTCATTTTCATAGCTTCTCTGACAAATAGATATTATATAAAATATAAATCGTAAGGAATACCTGATGTTGGTATGTAAAATATAATCCATTGTAAACCCGTAACTCAGCAACAAAACTAGATCTGAACTTTGGGACTGTCACCCTGAAGTGAAAAACTATTAAATTAAGCTTTTTTAGCATCTGCATTAAAAGCTAAGATCTAATGAAATATTATATAAAGAAGATCAAGAGAAGGAAAATTAAAATTCTTCCTTGCTAATGCGGATAAAACTAAATTATTTATCTTTTAGCCGGTCTTACCTTTCTTCAGTGGCAGAACACTAAAGTTTATGACGAATTCATATGAATGATCTTCTTTCATCTTGAACCAGTTGTTTCGGTATGCCATTACTTTTAAACCTCCTACGAAAAGATACCACATTAATTAAAGAAAATAATAGAAAAAACAAATAATATCTGTTTTAACAAACTTGTTGAGTTTTTCTCGTGAAACCAGCTGAAGATCGAAAACTCTAGCAAGGAGTTCGAACAATTGCATAGTCTAATATGAATTTGGAACACTTGGCGAATATTGATAAGCATATTTGTGGAAGCTTTACATAGTGCAAACAACTCTCATAAAATTAAAGCTCGTTATTCACAATAATTAAATTTCATCGTGTGACAAAGAACAAAAACAAGTTTATTTCCTGAGTTTTAAAATCTGCACAAAACATATCTAAATACAATGTGATTCGTCATGACGTAACAAATGAAATCAAAAAATAAAATCAAAAACAATTCATACTTTCTGACATAAATTAGATTTAACAATAGTTGGTCAATTAAAAATAAAGCATAAACAAAGGTACACTCAACAAAACAATCATTCTTCTGAATATAAAAATACTCATACTGTAACCACTACATAATTATAACAAATATCAATTTTAAAACAACAAATAATTACTTTTAGTCACTAGCCAGTGAATGTGTGTAATAGGATGAAAACACTTTATCACCTTATTATTCAGTCAATGAAGAGCTCAAATACATATCAGTTACAAGTCAGAGTCCTGGAAAGTGTAATCCTCTAAATACCGAATCCCCTGCTCATGCTTCGACATCAGTATACATAATATCTTCATCCCTCACAGACGTTTCCTCCTCCAACCCATGGGAATTCCAGGGCTGAACTTCTGCAGAACCAAACACACAGTACTGTACAGATCCAAACATCCAGACTGCTGAAGCCGATAGGAAGGCTATCTTCCAACGTTCATGCAGTTTCTCATAATCGTCTGGATCAACATCGTTGACAAGGAATCCAACAGCGATGGGGCCCAGGATTCCAGCTACAGCACTAAGGCCGTTACCAATACCGCAGAGGATCACAGAAAAGCGAGGAGAGAGATCAACATAATTCACATAATAGCAGAGGTTGGCGTAACCCTGGAAATACATTGTTATGTTCAAGAGAATCAGAATGGGGACATTGTTCTCACAGTAGGCCATGGCAGCCAGAAGAATGGCCGGAATAATCTGGGCAGCAACACTACAAAATTTTCTTGTCCATGTTTTTGACAGTATTCCGTTTCTTATAAGAAGATCAGAAAAGTATCCACCGGAAGTGTAACCAAGGTAAATCATGACGTAAGGTAGCGAGGCTATAAACCCGGAGTCTTTCATGTTGTACTGCAAAACTTCGATCATAAACTTGGGAATGTCTGACAGTAACATGAAGAATCCATACCTGAGAAATTTCGGATTGAATTTCATATTTCGAAAATAAAGGGTTAAAGATTCTTAACTTTTTCTTAAATTTAAAAGTTACGAGTAGAAATAGTCATTCTTCGATATATTAACATTAACTCATTAACGTAAAAAAATTATGATTAACATACCCATTACACATGTGCATGACACAAGTTGACCGAAATCGTCCGCTCTTCAGAATACTTTTCCAAGGTATTTCAGATATCTGAACTGCTTTCTTAGGGACTGTAGTCGCGGCCAAGTATTCCCTTTCAGCGTTGGAAGTCCAGTATGATGTGGCCGGATCATCTCTAACAAAGACAAACCATAGCAGAGCCCATAGTACTCCACAGCCTCCATACACATAGAAAAGACTGGGCCAGCCCTCTAAAAAGCTACCAGAAGCTAACAGTCCAGAAACAGAGTTCGCCAGGACAGCCCCTAAATACTGACCCCCGGAACTTAAAGCTGAAAATGTGGCAAACTGAGAAGTAGGGGCCCAGGTTGCTATGATGTTCAGGGCCACCGGGAATGTTACACCTTGCCCCAATCCAATGAAAAGACGCAGTGCAATAAACAGCCAAAAGTTGACACCAGAGATAAAAGGACAAAGGAAGGTTGCTAGGATGGCGATGAAGAGGCCGATACCAAAGACTTTGCTGGCCCCAAAATAACAGCATATCACAGCGCCCGGAAGCTGCGTGGCCCAGTATCCCCAGAAAAAGGAGCTCAAAACGTAACCTAGAAAAAATATGTAAAAGTTTTAATCTGGAACAAATGCGAATGTATATTGTATAACTCTCACGATATCATTATGTTATAATTATTTTGTTCACAATAATATCTTTGCAATATTTGTACAACGTTTAAGTACAAGGAAATAGTTGGTCACTGGCTATGGGGCCAAGCTTCATCGAATTTAAAAACCGTTTGAGTTTAAAACTGGACTTGAGAAACATAGAAAATACAGGATAAATAAGTACCTTGTTGTTCCTGGGACCAACATCTTGTTTCATTTTCAGTACAATGTTCTGGTGCAGCCACCATATCACTATCCAACGCGAAACTGAAAAATCATCATTCAATCAAAAATAATTATCTTAAATAAGGGGAGGGGGTTGTGAAATGAAATTAGAGCAGTAGTGAGGGACTGAGGTTAACTGGAAATCGTGGCTGTGATAGGAAAAAATATGAACGAACAATACAGTCAGTAAAATTATATAAGAATCGAACAAGCCATCAACAGAGCTGAAATGTACCTAAATAAGAACTTAGAACACACTGTACCTTATGTTCATACGTAGGATGTAGTCCATTATGAACCCACAACACACCAGCAAAACTATCACATATCTAAACCAGCCCTGGTGGAAGAAAAAAAGGTTAAACAAAAAAAAGTAAAATGTGCTTTCTCCTTTTAACCAATAGCCCACATGAATAGAAATCTGATAATCACACCGTTAAAATGGCGCGGAAAATATTGGGGTCAGTTCGCAGTGTTAATGTTTGTTTGTTTGGTGACTGGTTTATTAGCCAGTCAATGTTTACGAATATAATAACTTTATTACTTAATTATAAAATACAAAAATTAAAAAGATGATTTATTGATTTAAACAAAAGATCAAGCACACTGTGCTTCCAGTTAATTTGGTAAAGTGTAAAATACACAATCCATCATCAAAGCACGTGAAAACTGTGTGTGACAATTAATAAAATAATCAACAAATATTAGATAATAATATAATAATATAATAAACAATTATTAGATAATTAATAACGAATAACTTACAGCGGGTTTAACACTTTTAACAGATGTTTTGTTCGGTGCACAGTTCTCCCTCCTCCCACCGAGCAAAGGAAATATTTCACCTTTCATATTATGTTCAACTGAAACAACGTCTATCAGGCAAATCTACAACATCTTTAAACGAAATAAAAGCTCTTCATATTAGTTATAAACAACAATAAGGTAATCTGGGCTTCTATTAATTCAACCGAGCCCTAAACAATCGAATTCGTGTTCTACTAGCCTGTCACGTGACCAAAACAGTTTTTTGCTCAGTGCCCTCCTGTCAAAAGTCAAAAAATTAAAAATCATTGGCGAGTGATTTAGTGGAATCGAGGCATCTGATATCAATTCAGTCAGTGAAGGTACGAATCAAACAGACAGAATTTAAGGAATGATGGCTGGATTTAGATGAGCACTCAATTAGATAATTAGTGCAGAGAGCAGGCCTTTTATCGGCTGGTAGTAGTACTGCCACAGGGTGGTATGTGATAAGATAGGAGATATGAGAAAAATGGAGATGATGAGGTTAAAAAGCAATTATTCAATAAAACAATACAAGATTAGATATGTATCTCAAAGAAACACGACGCCATTTTATCAGGTTATCTTTACAACTTTACAAAATCACACGAAACATAATATAAGACAATACTAGCCTATCATAATAATTATATGGACACGATCATTTTAAGTTGAGGATATTTGTACGAATTAAACAAGAATTGCGCCCGTTGTTTCGTTTGGCGGACGCTAGATTTCCGTTCACTATAACTTAAAGTATTTAAGCTCCAAATAGCTCACTTCATAATAATATTGATAAATTATGCATTAAATACGGGGAACACTCGAAATCCAATTCAATTGCTGTAGAACTTAAATTGTATCTGTAATTCAAGAAACTGTTAGCAATTTAAGTAAACTATATTATATAATACTCGTATACACATCAATACACTAATACACTACGCGTGCCACGTACAAATTGGGCTTACAACTTAATATTATAATATATTAAAATACACTCGCGCCGCGAATTTATTAACCAAAAGCTATCTATAATTCACATCTCCGCAAGCTCAAGCAATCCTCGCGCGCGGATATTTCGTTCTATGGTAACGGACGTAAGGAACACGACATATTTAAACCCACCTAGCTACCGCAATCTCCAAAATCCACTTTTTTCTGCAAAAAACGTCCATTCGTAACCTTTCACTATTGCCTTTTTTTAAAAGGGTGTGAACGGAAAAAATTGCATTTTTGACATTAGTGGCATAAATTTGACGTTTATCACTACTAGAGTATTGTCAAAAGTACTGAAAATCAACCACGTGACCCATACTTCCAATGATGCCCGCAACTATATCAAAAGCATCGGAAAGAAGAATTACTTTAAAAAATCAGTAAGATACAAAAATAAATAAAATATAATAAATAGATATATAAATTGTAAATTGTAAGTAATACCTGATGTTAGTATGTAGGATGTTTTCCATTATAAACCCGTAACTAAGCAACACAACTAGATCTGAACTTTGGGACTGTCACCCTAAAGTGAAAAACTATTAAATTAAGCTTTTTTAGCAGCTGCATTAAAAACTACGATGTAATGACATAATATATAAAGAAGACAATCGAAAGTCTTCCTTGCTAATGCGGATAAAACTAAATTAATTATCTTTTAGCCGGTCTTACCTTTCTTCAGTGGCAGAACACTAAAGTTTATGACGAATTCATATGAATGATCTTCTAGCATCTTGAACCAGTTCTTTCTGTACGCCATTACTTTTAAACGTCCTACAAAAATTAATTAACAAAAATAATAGAAAAAAACAATAATGTCTGTTTTTATCAAACTTGTTGAGTTTTTGTCATGAAACCAGCTGAAGATCGAAAACTCTAGCAAGGAGTTCGAACAATTGCATAGTCTAATATGAATTTGGAACACTTGTCGAATTTTGGTAACATATTTGTGGAAGCTTTACATAGTGCAAACAAGTTTACTCCTTGAGATTTAAAATCTGCACAAAACATAATATCTAAATACAATGTGATTCGTCATAAAAATGAAATCAAAAAATAAAATCAAAAACAATTCATACTTTCTGACATAATTGGTCGATTAAAAAATATAGCATAAACAACAGTACACTCAACAAAACAATCATTCTTCTGAATATCAAAATACTCATACTGTAACCACTACATAATTATAACAAATATCAATTTTAAAACAACAAATAATTACTTTTAGTCGCTAGTCAGTGAATGTGTGTAATAGGATGAAAATATTTTAACCTTGTTATTCAGTCAAAACACCGAGTATCATTTGTCAATGAAGAGCTCAAATACCAATCAGTTACAAGTCAGAGCCTTGGACAGTGTAATTCTCTAAATACCGAAACCTCGGCTGCTTTCTTCGGCGTAAGCATACAGAAGATCTTCATCCTCCACAGACGTTTCCTCCTCCAACCCATGGGAATTCCAGGGCTGCACCTCAGCGGAACTAAACACACAGTACTGAAGAGATCCAAACATCCAAACCGCTGAAGCTGATAGGAAGGCTATTTTCCACCGTTCATGCAGTTTATCATGATCATTTGGATCAACATCATTGACAAGAAGACCAACAGCGATGGGGCCCAGGATTCCAGCAACAGCACAAAGTCCATTACCAATACCACAGAGGATGGCAGAGAAGCGAGGAGAGAGATCAGCATAGTTCACATAATAGCAGAGGTGGGCGTAACCCTGGAAATACATTGCTATATTCATAAGAATCAGGATGGGGACATTGTTCTCACAGTAGGCCATGGCAGCCAGAAGAATGGCGGGAATAATCTGGGCAGCAACACTACACAGTTTCTTGTCCATGTTTTTGACAGTATTTCCGTTTCTTATAAGAAGATCAGAAAGGTATCCACCGGAAGTGTAACCAAGGTAAATCATGACGTAAGGTAGCGAGGCTATAAACCCGGAGTCTTTCATGTTGTACTGCAAAACTTCGATCATAAACTTGGGAATGTCTGACAGTAACATGAAGAACCCATACCTGAGGAATTTCGGATTGAATTGCATGTTTCGTAAACAACAGGTCAAAGATTCTTGAATTTTTCGAAATTTAAAAGTTGAGAGTAGAAATAACCATTCTTCGAGTTTGGCATTATTAACATACCCATTACAAGTGTGTATGACACAAGTTGACCAAAATCGTCCGCTCTTCAGAATACTTTTCCAGGGTATTTCAGATATCTGAACTGCTTTCCTTGGGACTGTAGTCGCGGCCAAGTATTCCCTTTCAGAGGTGGAAGTCCAGTATGATGTGGCCGGATCATCTCTAACAAATACAAACCATAGCAGAGCCCATAGTACTCCACAGCCTCCATACACATAGAAAAGACTGGGCCAGCCCTCTAAAAAGCTACCAGAAGCTAACAGTCCAGAAACAGAGTTCGCCAGGACAGCCCCCAGATACTGACCACCGCCCCCTAAAGCTATAAACGTGGCAAACTGAGAAGAAGGGGCCCAGTTTGCAATGATGTTCAGGGCCACTGGGAATGTTACACCTTGCCCCAATCCAATGAAAAGACGCAGTGCAATGAACAGCCAAAAGTTGACACCAGAGATAAAAGGACAAAGGAAGGTTGCTAGGATGGCGATGAAGAGGCCGATACTAAAGACTTTGCTGGCCCCAAAATAACAGCATATCACAGCGCCCGGAAGCTGCGTGGCCCAGTAGCCCCAGAAAAATGAGCTCAGAACGTAACCTAGGAAAAATATTTTTAATTTTCACTCGATGTGGAAATACGTTACCCGAACACTATTATCATTGAATTTAAAGACCGATCTTAAACTGGATAGGATATGTTAATTATCTGTAATGTTAATGAAAAAATACAAGAGGCAGAAAAGAAAGCTAAATAAGAACCTTGTTGAGCTTGAGACCAACATCTTGTATCATTTGCAGTACAATTTTCTGGGGCAACCACCATCTCACTATCCAACGCGAAACTGAAAAATCATCATTCAATCAAAACTATTCTGTTCGATGTGACTAAGAAGCTGCGTCATGCAACTCCTCTTTTTTCTGAACCCATGCTGGTTCGTATTGATCATCATGTTCTCTTCCAAATGACGAACCAGGTTTTTTCTGATGACACACTCAAATGTCTTTATGATGTGCGAGGTTAAAGACACTGGTCTATAGTTTGCTGGGTCCGTTCTGTCCCCCTTCTTATAGATAGGGGTGATATATTAGGTCTTTAATTCCGCTGGTATATACCCACTGCTGAACGATTCCTGCCAGAGGAGTGTTAGCGGGTCTGCAAGTTGTTCTTTGCAGGCTGTGAGTATCCTAGCAGGAATCTCTCCGTCAGGTGCGGCAGAATAGGGATCCAGTTCTCCTAATGCTTCAATGATATCTTTTCTTGTGAAGCTTAGCTCATTGAATCCGGAATTCAGTCCCTGAGGTAATCCTTGGCTCTTCATACATTCATCAATATCAGCACTCATAGGGTTACTAAATACCTTCTGGTACTGCTTCTGAAGTAACTCTGCCTTGATACTGGGGTCGTCCACTAATGCCCCAGTCTCATCTCTCAACACCGGGATCGTAGATCTGGTCTTCTGAAAACGCTTGGCATACGAAAAGAAGTATTTCGGGTTCTTCTTTATTAGGTGTGCCTAAAGTACAGGGTGTGCCTAAACTACAGGGTGTGCCTAAACTACAGGGTGTGCCTAAACTACAGGGTGTGCCTACTGCCTAAAGTCTGGTCAGGATTTACGTTTTAAATAACCTTTTCTCCCCAACTGGAACCTTCGCAGTAAATCGGGGTTTTACTGTGCTAGGATTCGTATGATAGGTAGAACTACAGGGTGCAGTATTCCTAGTTTTATATAAATATAACCTGCCCAAGCTAAAAAGCCATGGCAGGGCCAGCAGGCAAAGCCCAGACTAAATCCTACTGAGCTGACTAGTGACTACGTATGAAATAACAATAGGGGAATGAACAATGAATAATGTGTACATACATATACATACATATACACATATACATACATATACATATACATTATACAGGTACCATGTATTATAGAGAGAAGGTGTACCAAAATAAGAATACTAGGTACCTGATGTTGAGAGCAGTACAAGTGTGTACCTAAATAATAACACTAGGTACCTGATGTTGAGAGCAGTACAAGTGTGTACCTAAATAATAACACTAGGTACCTGATGTTGAGAGCATTGCAAGTGTGTACCTAAATAAGAACCTAAATACTAACCTAAATAATAACACTAGGTACCTGATATTGATACGTAGGATGTAGTCCATAATAAAGCCGTAACTCAGCAACAAAACTATCACATATCTAAACCAGCCCTGAAGAGAGAAAACAACAGGTTAAACACAAACAAGGGATGAAAAATTGAGAGGCGGTGTTATTTCATTAATAATGATTTACATATCGCGACTGTTTAGGTTCTGGGGAGGGCAAGGGTTGCAGTAGTCTGTAGGTGTTTTTAAAGCAGAAACCTATGTATTTATTAGGCTTGAACAGTTTGATATTCAAATTTTCACCAAAAATGATAATGAGCTATTACTAGCTGGGCACCATAATTAACCATAGACATATGGTGTTAAATTATAAAATAATAAACAAATATTAGATAAATAATAACATATAACTTACGGCTGGTTTAACAGAAGTCTTGCTCTGAACGCTGTTCTCCGCTCCGTCTCCTCCTAGTAACGGAACACTCGAGTCTACAATACCTTCATCTGACATGTCATCATAATCCACCATCTTAAGTGATTAAAAGGTTTAGAACAAGTAAATAATTAGTAAATAAATAATAAGTAACTAGTTATTAAGGGGGTGGGGGGGGGGTTCACCCTGAATTTTTTCGTGAAACTTGGTTTCGAGATAGCAGTTGACCAACAAACTAGGACCGGTGACCGAACTTTTGAGGGGGTCCCGGACCCCAACCGCCAAACGGTGCCCGCGGGGCAGCCACGCCCATATTTTGTCCAAATTAGGCCCAATTTAGCCAAATACCCTCAACATGCCGGAAACCCAGATTGTGCTATACTTGTAGCTAGTGATCTCCTGAACTTGTATATGAAATTTCATCAAGATTAGACAAAAAATGACTGAGTTATGAGCCCAAAACCATATGACCACATTTGGGCATACGCACCAAATTTGATCGATTTTTGCCCATAAATTGGTCAAATATCAATATTTTTGAATGAAACTAACTTTATATGGAAGGTAAGCTTATACTACACATTCTCTATGATTCCCATGATTGTAAGCTCAATATCACCTCACTGTGGATTCTGAGTTCAAATAATCGCAAAAAATTAACAAAATCGCCCATATCTCAGTTCGCGATATTTGCGAAACTGATTTCGTTCAAAACAATAGAACTCAATAGGGTTTCAATATTTTTACATGAAATTTTCAGAATCAACGTAGAATCGCATTTCGACCTTAAGTTTTAATATAGAATTTTGAGTTAGGCCTTTAAAAAAAGTTGGCGGCCAAATTCTGAAAAATGCCCGGCAAATTTCAGAATTTGGCCGCCAAATCAGGATGAACCCCTGTAAAAGTGATCTCAACTAGGAATAAATAAAATATAATAAATAGATATATAAAATGTTAATTGTAAGCAATACCAAATGTTGGTATGTAGGATGTAATCCATTGTAAACCCGTAACTCAGCAACATAACTAGATCTGAACTCTGGGACTGTCACACTGAAGTGAAAAACTATTAAATTAAGCTTTTTTAGCATCTACATTACAAACTACAATCTAATGACATAATATATCAAGAAGATCAAGACAATCGAAAGTCTTCCTTGCTAATGCGGATAAAACTAAATTAATTATCTTTTAGCCGGTCTTACCTTTCTTCAGTGGCAGAACACTAAAGTTTATGACGAATTCATATGAATGATCTTCTAGCATCTTGAACCAGTTGTTTCGGTATGCCATTACTTTTAAACTTCCTACGAAAAGATACCACATTAATTAAAGAAAATAATAGAAAAAACTAATAATATCTTGATTTAACAAACTTGTTGAGTTTTTCTCATGAAACCAGCTGAAGATCGAAAACTCTAGCAAGGAGTTCCAACAATTGCATAGTCTAATATTAATTTGGAACCCTTGTCAAATATTGGTAACATATTTGTGGAAGCTTTACATAGTGCAAACAACTCTCATAAAATTAAAGCTCGTTATTCACAATATTTAAATTGCATCGTGTGACAAGAAACAAAAACAAGTTTACTTCTTGAGTTTTAAAATCTGCACAAAACATATTATCAAATACAATGTGATTCGTCATAACAATGAAATCAAAAAATGAAATCAAAAACAATTCGTACTTTCTGACATATATATAATAGATTTTAAAATAATTGGTCAGTTAAAAAAATAAAGCATAAACAACGGTACACTCAACAAAACAATCATTCTTCTGATATCAAAATACTCATACTGTAACCACTACAATTATAACAAATATCAATTTTAAAACAACAAATAATTAATTTTTGTCGCTAGTCAGTGAATGTGTGTAATAGGATGAAAATACTTTATTACCTTTTTATTCACACAAAACACTGAGTCTCATTTGTCAATGAAGAGCTCAAATACCAATCAGTTACAAGTCAGAGCCTTGGACAGTGTAATCCTCTAAATACCGAAGCCTCGGCTGCTTTCTTCGGCGTAAGCATACAGAAGATCTTCATCCTCCACAGACGTTTCCTCCTCCAACCCATGGGAATTCCAGGGCTGAACTTCTGCAGAACCAAACACACAGTACTGAACAGATCCAAACATCCAGACCGCTGAAGCCGATAGGAAGGCTATTTTCCAACGTTCATGCAGTTTATCATGATCATTCGGATCAACATCATTGACAAGGAGACCAACAGCGATGGGGCCCAGGATCCCAGCTACAGCACAAAGTCCGTTACCAATACCACAAAGGATGGCAGAGAAGCGAGGAGAGAGATCAGCATAATTCACATAATAGCAGGGGTTAGCGTAACCCTGGAAATACATTGCTATATTCATGAGAATCAGGATGGGGACATTGTTTTCACAGTAGGCCATGCCAGTCAGAAGAATGGCGGGAATGAACATGGCCGCAATACTACACCATCTTCTTGTCCACGTTTTTGACAGTATTTTGTTTCTAACAAGAAGATCAGAAAGGTATCCACCGAAGTGTAACCAAGGTAAATCATGACGTAAGGTAGCGAGGCTATAAACCCGGAGTCTTTCATGTTGTACTGCAAAACTTCGATCATAAACTTGGGAATGTCTGACAGTAACATGAAGTACCCATACCTGAGAAATTTCGGATTGAATTGCATAATTCGTAAATAACAGGTCAAAGATTCTTGAATTTTTCGAAATTTAAAAGTTGAGAGTAGAAATAACCATTCTTCGAGTTTGGCATTATTAACATACCCATTACAAGTGTGTATGACACAAGTTGACCAAAATCGTCCGCTCTTCAGAATACTTTTCCAGGGTATTTCAGATATCTGAACTGCTTTCCTCGGGACTGTAGTCGCGGCCAAGTACTCCTTTTCAGCGGTGGAAGTCCAGTATGATGTGGCCGGATCATCTCTAACAAAGACAAACCATAGCAGAGCCCATAGTACTCCACAGCCTCCATACACATAGAAAAGACTGGGCCAGCCCTCTAAAAAGCTACCAGAAGCTAACAGTCCAGAAACAGAGTTCGCCAGGACAGCCCCCAGGTACTGACCACCGCCCCCTAAAGCTATAAACGTGGCAAACTGAGAAGAAGGGGCCCAGTTTGCAATGATGTTCAGGGCCACTGGGAATGTTACACCTTGCCCCAATCCAATGAAAAGACGCAGTGCAATGAACAGCCAAAAGTTGACACCAGAGATAAAAGGACAAAGGAAGGTTGCTAGGATGGCGATGAAGAGGCCGATACCAAAGACTTTGCTGGCCCCAAAATAACAGCATATCACAGCGCCCGGAAGCTGCGTGGCCCAGTAGCCCCAGAAAAAGGAGCTCAAAACGTAACCTAGGAAAAATATTTTTAATTTTCACTCGATGTGGAAATACGTTACCCGAACTCTATTATCATTGAATTTAAAGACCGATCTTAAACTGGATATGATATGTTAATTATCTGTAATGTTAATGAAAAAATACAAGAGGCAGAAAAGAAAGCCGAGTTAAGTACCTTGTTTAGCTTGAGACCAACATCTTGTATCATTTAAAGTACAATTTTCTGGGGCAACCACCATCTCACTATCTAACGCGAAACTGAAAAATCATCATTCATTCAACTATTCAATCAAAAATAATTCTTATTTTAAGTATATATTTTTAAATATTTATATTTAAAATATATATATGAGTTATAATGACTCCTAAGTGGATTGACCTAAATTTATTAATAATGAAGGACAGAGGTTGGCTGGACTTCATTAAATCAAGAAAATGAGGTTATGATAGGAAAAATGCAGTGAGTAAAATAGGGTTACCAATAATGAACAATATATTAATATTATAATATTATATTATCTATACTATGCCGTTACTATGCACCACTTTGCTTTTAGTTTTACCTAATTACCTCATATATCCAATTACCTACGATCTTTTTGCCTTCAGCAAGAGTAGGGAAAATATCTCTACCAATTTACAGAGTGAAGAAAATTATTGGAGCAAGGCATTTTCAGTGAAATTGCAGGGTCAGCACTCAGCATTTATGGGATCATTTGAAAAGGAAAACTCATATCCAATTTACAACTCAAGTTTAGAAAGAAACAGACCAAACTTAACAAATTTTAAAACTCAAGGTACTAAACCAAAATGATCCATGATTTAACATTATTGTTTAATAGAAATAGTACAACAAAACAAAATGAATTAGCAAAGTGATAAATGGGATGTCTGGTAATCGCACATATTTTCGTTAGTTAATACAGATAGATTTTAATAATATGTCCATTATCCATCAGCAGAGATAAGAGACTTTACTTTTAGGGACCGTCGCAAAAAGTTTTAAAATCGCATCGCTGATTAATGTCTCATCAGCTTGTTAATCAGCGCTGTTCGTTTTATTAAATTAATTGTTAATTGCTCATCAAAAAATACGAGAGTATCGTGAAGTCAGCTCTTTATTAGTCACAAATAAGTCTTTGTCGTTCCTCTTCCCCAGAATTTATTCTAACTTCAGTTTGAGTAAACAATCTGCCGAGGATTGCTGATATCGTCACTATCCTGGAGTTAAGGAACTCCCTGAAGCTGCTGAGAGACAGTGTGTAAATGTAGAAGTTGGACATCAAATTCAGGGACCCAATCGCATACCCAATCCTAAAAAAATAAAAATGCCAGAACTGGGACATCTCCGTTGGGGCATCCTTCACAAAGTAGCTAACTGCATCGCAGATAGCTCCCGGTAGATTAGCGACAGTGAAGACAGCTACAGTGAGCACCACTGTCATCACCCCCCTCCACTGGAGTCCTCCTGGTCCTCTAGCAGTGATCTTCTTAGCTGTGATGATAATCATGACATTGCTCACCATCACAACCACCAAACTAATGAGCGATACTAATCCGATTAAGATGAAGGTGATCTTTAAGAACCAGCTGTCTTGAGATGAAGATCTGCTGAACTGACAGGTGTAGGTAAGGTAGCTGAAGTAGATATCATCTATCTTTGTCAGGACAGGCAGCGCTGCTAATACGAAGCTGCAAACGAAGCAGACGAGTGATGAAATATGAGCGATCTTTG